TACCCAGTAGTTTACTGATGGTGTCAACACCCAGTGTTCTACTAATGTTGTCAACATCCAGTACTCTACTGCTGGTGTCAGCACCCAGTAGTTTACTGATGGTGTCAACACCCAGTGTTCTACTAATGTTGTCAACACCTAGTACTTTAATGATGGTGTCAACACCCAGTGTTCTACTAATGTTGTCAACACCCAATGTTCTATTGCTGGTGTCAACACCGAGTATTCTACTGCTGGTGTCAACACCCAGTATTCTACTAATGTTGTCAACACCCAATGTTCTATTGCTGGTGTCAACACCGAGTATTCTACTGCTGGTGTCAACACCCAGTATTCTACTAATGTTGTCAACACCCAATGTTCTATTGCTGGTGTCAACACCGACTTTACTGGGTATTAATACCATCAGTAGAGTACTGTACATAATCTGAAAATAAGAAACCATATGGATGTACATGATATAACATTAAGCAACCATATGGATGTACATGATCTGACGCTAAGAAACCATATGGATGTACATGATCTGCCACTCAGAATCCATATTGATGTACATGATTTAACACTAAGCAACCATATGGTTTTAGATGATCTGAAACTAAGCAACCACATTGATGTACATAATCAGAGAATAAGAAACCATATGGATGTACATGAATTGCCACTAAGAAACCATATAGATGTACTTGATCTATCACTAAGCAACCATATGCATGTAGATGATCTGACAGTAAGAATCATATGGATGTACATTATCAGACAATAAGAGACGATATAGATGTACATGATCTGACACTAAGGAACCATATGTATGTACATGATCTGCCACTCAGAATCCATATTGATGTACATGATCTAACACTAAGCAACCATATGGTTTTAGATGATCTGAAACTAAGTAACCACATGGATGTACATAATCAGACAATAAGAAACCATATTGATGTACATGATATAACACTAAGCAACCATATGGGTGTACATAATTTGACAATAAGAAATAATATGGATGTACCTGATCTAACACTAAGCAACCATATGGATGTAGATGATCTGACACTAAGCAACCATATGTATGTACATGATCTGACACTGAGATACCATATGGATGTACATGATCTAACAATAAAAAACCATATGGATGTAGATGATCTGACAATAATAAACCATATGTATGTACATGATTTGACAATAAGCAACCATATGGATGTACATGATCTGACTATAAGAAACCATATGGATGTACATGATCTGACACTAAGAAATCAAATGGATGTACATATTTTGACACTAAACAACCATACTGATGTACACAATCTGACAGTTAGGTTGTTAGAGAGATAGGTTTTTGGATTCATTGGAACAAAGTTATTAGGCTATCTACGCCAATCAACCGATATAAAGATAAAAACAAAAAGCAAAATTCAACAAAAATTAAAAAGAAATCAATTTAAAATTTAAAGAACATTCCAATTTCAGGTAAAAACCGAAAATAATTGTAAAAAGGCCAATGAACTGTAAACGGCAAAAACACAATCAAGCTGGACAGTGTCACCATTGCCAATGACACCGTCCCACGACAGGGGTAAGCTCTTAGAAAAGACATGTCTAAAATAGTGCCGCCTCTTACAGGCGTAATAAAATCAAGAAAGTAAAACGTGTATAGTTGTGACTTCAGTGTCACAAAGGCTACACATTAGTGGATGAGTCCCAGATAAAAGAAAATGATGATTTAAAAAACTGTGACTAATGTGTAGCCTTGCCAGGACAACTTCCTTCTTCCGATCTTTACGGAAACAAGACCGCCAAAGAACAACAGAAGGTTTGACCTGGAAAAGCTTATTATGACGTTCACTCCACGTCGACTGCCATATGACGTAAATCGGAGTCTTGAATATAGGATTGTTGTCCATATATGGGACAGGCACGGCTGTGATGGCGCCAGAGCAGACGGACTTAATTGTGATGCCTGCAACCTCGTTCTAGCGAATTCCAACATGATCGGGTATCCAGAAAAACTGGATAGAAACAGATGACAGAATAAAAACGAGCCAGTCGCTTCTGAATGTCCATAAGAACAGGGTGAGAAACCGCATTAAGCGATTCCAGGTCCAGTAGAGAGCTAAGAGAGTCGGTGTAAATAGTATAATTGATGAACTGCTTAGCTTCAATGTGATCCAGGGCAAGAGAAATGGCATACAACTCGGCAGTGAGCACAGAAACTGTAGAAGGGATCCTGTGAGAAACTACCGAGCAACAACAAACCATGGCAGAGCCCCAAGTGTCACCTGATTTCGAACCATTCGTATAAACGGGAACAGAAGAATGGTTCGAGAGATGTCCGGCAAAGAGAAGACAGTACTTCCAATCGGGAGTATCTGTCTTCCTCTGATGACTCAAAGAAAGATCACAGCTGGGGGTGGTAACGACGAGCCATGGTAGGGTGGGCTGATCATTGGATTCAGCAACGCCATCCAATGAAGGACCAAATTCAGCCAACTGTGCCTGGATACGAAGGCCAAACAGAGGAATAGCTTACCGCCGATTCTAAAAGAGCACAGCCCATCGAGGAAGGAAGACACAACCCCAGATGAGATGTTGTGGTAAGGATCGAAGCTTGGTAGCAAACAGCAGATGTGAATAGGAGGTTTGTAGAGCACAGTGTACAGACTCTGGACTGGCGAAGTGCGAAAAGCCTCCGTGCAAAGCCGAAGCCCCACATGATCTACAGGGCAGAGGGCCTGGCAGATCCATAAACCATAAACCCATAGTTCAGCTTGGAACATATGAGGGCAAGATAGATCTTCAATATAGAATATCGATCCACTCTCCAAGAGGTGGAACAGAGGACACGAGGCTGTTCAGTGTCCATGTATACTTGACACGGAGCTGCTTAATGTGAGGAATAAAAGTCAAGTTGTGGTCAAACAGAAGACTCAAGAACTTCGTCTCAGGAACCACAGGAAGAACACCACCACCGAGACAGAGCTCAGGATCAGGGTGTAAACACCGTTGGTGGCAAAAATGGATGCAAATGGTTCAAGAGGGAGAAAAGGTGAAACCGTTTGCTGTGGTCCACTGTAACAAGTAAGTGAGAGCAGTCTGAAGCTGCCACTCAATAAACCTCATGTTCGATGACCGACAAGAAATGTGGTAGTCGTCGACATAGAGGCTGTTTGCAACGGTAGGAGGAAGTTTTTGAGTGATAGCATTGATCTTAATACTGAAAATTGTGACACTCAAGACACAGCCTTGAGGAACTCCAAGTTCCTGTGTGAAGGATCGGGACACGGTCTAACACATACAGACTTGGAAAATCCTGTCGAGTAAAAAGTTACGAATGAAAATGGATAACTCCACAGGAGTGGAGTACCACAAAATACCAAATATACATGTAGTGTCATAAACCTTCTCAAGATTAAAGAAAATACAAACAAGGTGCTCTCTCTTGAGAGAGGCTTCCTTGATCGAGGTTTCGAGACGAATCAGGTGGCCCATGGTGGAGTGCTGTCGAGAAAACCACATTAGGTGGGCGAGAGGAGATTGTTTGATTCAAGGATCCAAACAAGACGAGTATTAACTATCCTCCCCGAAACCTTACAGAGACAGCTAGTCAAAACAATAGGACGATAATTAGAAGGAATCTTGGGATCATTCCTATGTTTTGAGAAAAGAAGAACAATAGCCGTGCACCATGCCAAATCCAGTTTAAAACAACCGGAAGAAGAGTAAAAGAGGCAAGAGAGAGATGGCACAGCATCTCATGATGAATATCATCAGGTCCGACCAAGGTATTACCAGATCAATGAAGAGCGAGTTGAAGTTCCACAAATGTAAATAGGCAATTATAATCATAGAGATGATGGCCAAGAAGGCAGGGTAAGAAAAAGAAGTGCTGGGAAGATAAGAAAAGCTCTTTCAGGGAGTATCAGCGATGTTCTGTACACCAGCAACTTCCTGGATGTTGGAGAGCAAGATGGGAAGCATACATCCGACTGACTTTTACAATCCTGTCCCAGACGACCTTAGAACTGGTAGTATAAGAAATACTGGTAGTGAACTTAATCCAAGATTCCTTTTAGCTTTGATGTCTGACCAGCCTGGAACAGGCACGAGCCTGCAGAAAAGCAATGCAATTGGAAAGAGTGGGATGCATGCAAAAGATATCCCAGGCTGGTTCTGAGCCTACCGTACTTGCTGGCAGGCAGAAGTCCACTATGGATGAGGATACCGTAGAAAACGTGTCGAGGTTTTGGAAATGGAATGAACAGCTGTTTGAATTATACAGTTAGTTACTGCCTTCATGCAGTCGTCAATAGATGAAAGATAAACAACAGCAGGATAAAGTAACGAGAGAGTGGCGAAAGAGAGCCAGTCAGCATGCTCCAACTTCCACCGTGGCAACGACTGTGGCCAATTTCCCATAAAATTATGGGAAAATTATCACTGTCCCGTGAGTCTCTGTCAATCATCCAAGAAAAACGAGAGAAAAGTTAAGTGGAACAGATAAATCAATAGCAGTAAAAGACTGACTAGATGCATGAAAATAGGTATTAGATCCAGCAATGAAGATAGAAAGGTTGTGATCCGAGAGCATATGGTCAACAGAACGACCACTCCCATCAATATCAGCACTACCTCAGATGGGATTGTGTCCATTAAAGTCCCTCAATATGAAGAAGGGAGGCGGCAACTGACAAATTGATGTGTTAATGTGCCACTGATATAAAGTGACCCATCAATGACACCCCCTGAACCACCAGGATGCTCTGCTCCCTTTCACGGGATGCTACGCGCGGCAAACACGTGTATATATGTTTGGATCCCAGAGAAGGTAAACTGAAGATACAGAACCTTCCCTTGGAGTGTGTAAACAAGCACATATTTCAGTGTTGTTGTGTTAGCACACATGTTCACAGCTTGATTGTGTAAACCAGCAAGTTTCAGTGTTATTGTGTTAACACATATGTAAGGGTAGAGTAAGATTAGAACAAACTTACTTTATACTCCACTTCACAGCTCATACTCTGTTCATTTCTTCCATTGTCATACTGTAGTCGACGAAAATAGGTGTCACAAACATCATCGTTCAGCAGCGCCACGTTGTGGGAACTCGTCCGACACTGCAGCCTAGAATAATAAATGTAAATGCTACATGTAAATATATATATATATAAATGTATTGTTGTAAGCTATATTTGAAATGTTGTAATAGTTATGTTACACAGGGAGAGCCGCTGGCCGTAAATGATAACGTTAAGATAGAACCAGATAGTCCTAAAGTATTCTTGCACATTCGAAGATAGATTATACACACGGGCAGCACTCGAGTTGTGAAAAAAGTGTTAACAAGAGGAGCTCCCGAAATATACTGAGAAATGCATATTTTCACAGTAAGGTATTTGATAGTCAGAGTTTCAGATTTTTATATTCTGTTAAGTATAGAAACGATTCATTTTCTTTCTGTCAACAAGGGGAATAAGGTCCTCCCCTTCAATACGAGCTTTAAATACGGGATAACCTTTCAAGAGTAGAGTAAGTTGAAAAATAGTTAAGCGTATATATGTAGTTAATAGAACGTTGAGTTAAGGACATACACGTAGTTAAAAGAGTGTTGAGTTAAGGATATACATGTAGTTAAGAGGGTGTTGAGTTAAGGATATACCTGCAGTTAAGAGAATGCGGAGTTAAGGATATACATGTAGTTAAGAGAGTGTTGAGTTATTTGAAATAGATAGAGTTATTTATGATAGAGAGTTGAATCAGTCAGCGTACTTTTATGAAGTATTTGGATCAGTGTTTGTCGTCATCCTTATTAAGTTAGTTGTACAATAAGTTTACTTTATAATGGTTGGAGACGGCTTGAATGGGTAATGAAGAAAACTTTAATATAAGTTTAACATAACAGCAAATGTACAACGTTTCGACAAGGTTTTGTCATCATCAGGTTGTACATTTGCTGTTATGTTAAACTTAAAGTTTTTCTTCATTACCCATTCAAGCCGTCTCCAACCATTCTTAGTCTCAAAGTGGGCTCTTCGTCATCGAAGTTGACTTTATGCTATTCCTAGTATTGTTAAAGAGGTTTGAACGTCATTCGTAACGTAGATCTATAACGATTTACGACAGTGTACAAGTGTTCGAGTTTGTAGAGACGTGAAAGAAGGAACTAAAGTAATATGTTCTTGGTACGTAGACTGAACGCTGAGAAATTTTCGCCAGATAAGTTAACAGAACTCGCCATCAAAATAACAATACTATAACAGTATAAACATAAAAAAGGTAAAAAGAAAATTTTAACTCAGCTCAGTAGAATATGAAATTACCAATAGTATCAAGGAAACACGTGAAGAATAAGACACATCCACGTGCTCTGTAAACTAACACAAAATGAACTTGAGGAAAATAATATTAAAGGTACCAAATGGAAGTTAACAAAGAAGAGGATAGAAAGGAAGTTCTGATAGATGAAGGATAAGACAAATCTTTGTCTTCCTTACAACAAGTTTCAAGAAGTTTTCCATGAACCCTTTAATTTTTCCAAAAACTATTTTATAAAGCCACTATGGTATAAATTTAGTATAACTGTAGTATAAGTTAAGTATAACTGTGGTATAAGCTTATTACAAATGTGGTATAAGAAGACTACAACTTTGGTATAAGTTAAGAACAACTGTGGTATAAGCTTAGTACAAATGTGGTATAAGTTAAGAACAACTGTGGTATAAGCTTAGTACAAATGTGGTATAAAAAGACTACAGCTGTAGTATAAGGAAAGTACAACTGTGGTATAAGTAGACTACAAATGTCGTTTAAGAAAAGTACAACTGTTGTATAAGTGGAGTACAACTGTGGTATAAATGGAGTGTAATTATGATATAAGTAGAGTACAAATGTGGTATAAGTAGAGCACAACTGTGGTATATGTAGAGTACAACTGTGGTATAAGTAAAGTACAACTCTGGTATATGTAGAGTGTAATTATGGTATAAGTGAAGTGAAACTGTGGTATAAGTAGAATATAACTGTGGTATAAATAGAATACACTGTGGTATAAGTGGAGTACAACTGTGGTATAAGTAGAGTTCAACTGTGGTATAAGTAGAATACAACTGTTGTATAAGTAAAGTGCAATTGTGGTATATGTAGAGTACAATTCACAAGACACTGCAACGTTCGGGACTGATTGAGATATCCAGTAAACTATTTTATCCACAGTCATAAGACACTGCAACGTTCGGGACTGATTGAAATATTCAATAAACTATTTTATCCTCAGCTATAAGACATTGTAACGTTCGGGACTCAACAGCTCTTTTGCAAATGCAAATTTTTTGAAACGATTAAGTTATTTCAAAAATAACATTTCTGGAGAGATATTGAAATCTAACAAACTTTCAACAACTTATACCGAGGAAAATTTAAATGAGCTTTTAAATAAAATAATAATACACTTAACTAAGAAATCACAAAAGGTGTTACAACGGATTGAACAACAAGTAAGATTAATTTAGTGATAAAAAAAAATTCAAATACTCAAACAGAAGGGCTTGGCATGGCCTGGTGGTGCGGGTTATGGGTTCGAATTCCGTCACCAAACATGCTCGCTCTTTCAACTGTGGACAGTCAGTCGTACTTTTCATTGGTAAATGGTAGCCAAAGAGTCTAACAATGGGTGGTATTAAGTAGCTGTCTTCTCTCTAGTTTATCACTACTAAATTAGCGCTAGCACAGATAGTCCTCGTGTAGCTTTGTGCGAAATTCAACAAACACTTTAAAAACTTCAGCTTATCCATTGATACAACTTATACTACTAGTTGCTGACAATGCCAGTACCATGAAGGAATAACTGATGAGATATTTGATCATTGGTCCAACTTATATCACTAGTTGCTGACAATGCCAATACCATGGAAGAATAACTCATGAGATATTTGATCAGATTGATGCTTTAATTTTCGGGTTTTGGATACCAACGAACACCAAAGAAACCCAAATAAAGAATTTAGTACCGGAAATTGATACTAGCAGGACATGTGTTTCTTACATAAACTTTTTCAACCTGGATTTCACTGAAAATTTGTTTGAAGAAACTGGTACTAGTACGTTAGTTTTAACTGTAGGCTTCACTAAGAACTTAGATCCCCAAACTTCAAAGGAGCCAAGTGTGTGTGTGTGTGTGTGGGGGGGGGGGTGATACATTATGGAAGGTGCTGTGTTCATCCAGAACTAAACTGACGCTGGTTCCAGAATCATTTATACCCAAAAGGAGCTTTCCGATCCTGCTTGTCATTTCTTATTCCCTGTGATTGAAACAGGGTCCTTGTGGTACACTTCCTTACAGTTTCTTGTACAATTATACACGTGCCCTTGTTGCCTTGCCCGACTTCTATATGCTTTTCACGAATCAATTTTGCAGTTGTATGTTTTTAAATACAAGCTATACAATGAGCTAATTGTATAGTGCCAACTACGGGTATTGAAACTCGGTTTTTAGCGTTATAAGCATTCAGACTTACCACCGAGCCACTAGGGGGGTAGAACTTCTTGTGTTATAAATTATCATGTATCTCCTCAAACAGAAGAAATCGTATAACCTCCTAGGCACGTACTTTTCCTACTGCTGCGATCACAGCATGGAGTACCGAAGGACCTCCCATGACATTTTCAGTTGCCAGTGTTCCCGAGGGTCAAGAACAGTGGGATACTGAGCCCATGTTGCGTTTCTCTCTGGGACACAACATTGCCCCTTCTAACACCACCCGAGCGGCGTCTTTGAAATGGAGATTGAATCATCTACAAGGAACTCAATTAATATTTCGCTAGACTATTCTGTCAATAAAATATTATGATGTAAATACGTCCATCTTTCATTATTACCCTCGACTCCGGAGGGGTGGGGAGGGCAAGCGGGCCAATGTGCTGTGTGTCTGTCTGTAAACGATACTGTACACAAGATTCCCGGGAAGTCTATATGGGACAGTCCTTCCAAACTTTTATCACTTTGAAGCATTTTTATAATGGCGAGATAGGATATTTTCGCGGGCTTGGGTTAATAACTCTGTAAAGTTTGATCGGACTTGTACCAAATTTCATGGGCACGTATATGGTTGAAATTTCTCATCACACTAAAAAAATGATCCGGATCGTTGAGAATTTTGGATCTGAGAGGGATTTTATGAGTTTTCGAAGGTGAAATTTGGCGTTATCCAATATAAGCATGTATACAATCTCTCTGATTGCTCTTGTTTTATTTGTTAATAAGTATTTTCATTTGTTGCGATTTCTTCAAAAGTTATTGATTGAGGAAATATATCCTCTGGTAAACATTTAGGTCCGTAGCAGTAGTGGCCGCCATTCTAGGAATGGCGATCTATAACACCTGCTACTAAGTTTGTCATCGAGTCTTGAAAATTATATACACCGCCTATATTTTTGCAATAATAACCAAGTCTCATCTGCTGGCAAAGGCAATTGTACAGCTGTCCTAAACAAGATGTAAAATCTAGTTAAAGAAATTATCAAAAACGTTCTTGAAAACAGGTCTAACACAGCTCCACAAAGAAGAATTAAGACTTTTATAACTTATCATGACTCATCATGATATCTAATTAACTAAGTACATATTATTGATCAAGTTTCAAGGGTAAAGACTATTATAGAGCAGGTTTCCAATGTGTGTGAATCGGCGGACAATACATATTTTGTTTTTGAATTAACTTCCGATCTTATGTTTTTTTGAAGCGTTGTGTTTAATAAATATTTGCATATTCTAAACGTCGTTAGTTTATTTCGTTTGATTATTCATAGCTTATCAATTACGTAGAACCCAAGACTACTGGTGGCAACACCCAGTACTCTACTAAAGTGTCAACACCAATTAACCTATTTCTGGTGTCCAAAACAAGTACTCTACTAATAGTTTCAACACCCAATACTCCACTCATGGAGTCAATACTCAATATCCTACTGATGGGGTCAACACACAGAATTCTACTGCTGCTGTCAACATCAAGTACTCTACAGCTGGTGTCAACACCCAGTACTCTACTAATGTTCTCAATACCCTGTTGATGGAGTTAACACCCAGTGTTCTATTGATGGTGTCAACACTTGATACTCTACTAATG